TCATGCGCAGATTGTGATTCGTGAAAACTTTTAAACAAATACAACAAAGTTTTTAATAAATATGGAGAGTTCATTGAGTAGAGTAAAATAGATGATTTTTGTTTTCATGAAAATGATTTACTGATGGATGTAAGTTTCGGTCTTTTGTTACACGTTCTTTCTGCCATTCTGACACACCAGTCAGTTCATTACTATATATTTCATACTTGGCTTTCACTTTGGTTTCGTTTTCGTTTAATTACTTAAGCCTGATCACTGGAGTCTTCCCCATAACTCGCAGCAATGAAAGTGTGAAATGAGACTCCCCCATAACTCGCAGCGATCAAAGTGTGAAATGAGTTTCCCCCCCATAACTCGCAGTAATCAAAGTGTGAAATGAGTCTCCCCCTCATAACTCGCAGCAATCAAAGTGTGAAATGAGACTCCCCCATAACTCGCAGCAATCAAAGTGTGAAATGAGACTCCCATTACTCGCAGCAATCAAAGTGTGAAATGAGACTCCCCATAACTCGCAGCAATCAAAGTGTGAAATGAGTCTCCCCCCCCCATAACTTGCAGCAATCAAAGTGTGAAATGAGACATGTCTTTAAGTATTTATTAAAAAAATTTTATGACTGAGGAAAATGGCACTTTTGGGGCATAAGGTTAGGAAGGTAGGGGCTTGAGCCCACCAAGCCTCCCTCCCTGTACGTCACTGTTTCAACTATTTAGTATTTTCAACCTGAAATAAAATCATGCGACACTTGGGCTAACAGGTCAGCTTAGAAACCCGAGAATTCTGGTATACCCTTTCAAGTTTTAAAGTACTAATAAGAGAGATGGCAACCACTCAGCAGAACACTCCAACACAATGGTCTTATCCTGCCTTTTGAACTGATTAATTGAATTAAATGTCATTTTTAACACATCATCATCTTCACGTACAAGGAGTTTTCAGCGTATCACAGCCCTAAATTTAGACTCATCGATCCATAGTAGTAAGATACATAATGATGTTGAATAGTATCATCATCATTTTGCTTTCATCTTTTACAAATCTTCATTACAAAAAGAAGAAGAGACGATGTTGTAGAGAAGACTCCTTTAAGAAACAATACTTGTTTGATTGTTTTAGAGCCACATCTGCTGTGTTCACTGCGGGGAATCGAACCCCGGATTGTAGCGTTATAAATCCGTAAACTTAACACTGACCCACCGGAGGACATTGAACAATGCACTGAATAAGTTCCTTTCTTCATGGTAACTGTTGTATAATGAGATCAAAGTTTTTAAAAAATACACAGTGAAAGCATGTTAACAACTGTAATGACTGAAGTAGTCATGGATTTCACCCTTCCATAACTAGTATAGAACATATCGTAATATGTATATATTTTTTTCTAAATTTTCGAGCACGTATTTTGGATGTAACATTCTTGATAACCCAATGTAAACATCCGCTGGTCTTTTTACTCGGGAGGTGGCACAGGGTTTTGTACAAATTGATATGAGTAAGGGTTTTTCCTCACATCTAAATGTGATATGGAATAATAGGTGATGTATGCAGCGTTGGATTCTGGTATGTCGTCCTTTAATGTTTTGTTAGTGGTAAATCATAAATCCTTTTTTCTGTCTTTTGTCAATATTTCCTCTTCTTTGTTCAGGGAAGACGCGCGTAGAAAAGCTCTCTCTCTGTATCCCGGCAACCAGTTAAAATTTTGTTTATTTGCTAACTAGTGTTTGATTCACGCTCTTCCTGTCACTATTTAATTTATTCTCTGTATAAAATGTATCTGTTGAATATCAATGAACCTGAATGCAATAAAACGTGTTTATAAATACAATAATACACAATCTGTCATTTCAAGTAATAACAATAAATAACATAATGGACAATATAACTAAGTACAACAACTGAGAAACATTTATAATATAATTTTTGAACAATATTATTGATTGGACGAGTTAAAGATTTTGCAATGGTTACTATTAAGCACAAAGCTATGCAATGGACCTATCTGTGCTCTGCCGACAACGGGTATCGAAACTCGATGTTTATCATTGAAAGCCTACAGATTTACTGCTGAGCCGCTGGATGGAGGAATTGAAAACTTCAATAAACACTGAAAGTGAATAAGAGAATTAAATTATTATTAATATAAATTTACCAGGGCCGGATATGAATCTGACGATTCATGGCTCAAGTCCCGTTGCCGCAAAACTCGCACCACACTTTTAGGCCGAGTGTACTCTACTAGAGTAACATTCAAATTACACTTTTTGGTCAAACAAGAGTAATCCGTAACCTAAGAATTGGCGGTGGATACTGTTAACTACATGTATTTTCCCTAGTTTAGCAGATAAAAATTAGGTTAATTTACCCAATTGGTTTAAAGAGTGGCCTCGGTGATACGTAAACTGGAAAATACGCGAAGTTTTTCTCCAAGCGACCAATCATCATTACTCTTTTCTTTAATGTGTCAGAACCAACGTAATTAACACCTTCTACTAACACCGTTTCGGAAAGCTGTCTTTAGATAGTGAGTGAACTTACAGAACCAACGTAATTAACACCTTCTACTAACACCGTTTCGGAAAGCTGTCTTTAGATAGTGAGTGAACTTATTTTAAATGTGGTGTTCAACACTACGTGGCAATTGAACGACACGCTTTTGAATGGGTTTTTCCTGATGTTTTATCTAACGTATTAAAAAAGTCAGAAATCGCTATAAAATCCATTATTTGCAACATTCTAGAAATATTGGACCTGAAATGTTTAACAGAAGTTTTTGTTGCAATCATAAAACAGAGATTATATCTTGGGTTATGAGATTTAAAACTAATGACGGGAGAATTCAACCTAATACAATTTAGAGTTTGAAAATAGAAATATATTCTCAAATCAAGAATCTAAGAATTCAATATTTAATATCTTTAACTTGTTGGAAATACTTTAAATTCATCATAAACCAGCTTAACGTTGAAACTTGTACTGTTGTGACGTCAGTAAAACGTGAGCATGCCATGAATCACGAGAAGAATTATGCACTCTGTAGGATACAACACAGCAAGACATATCAACTTCAAAAGCAAGAAATAAAAACATTTGTTACTCTTAAATTAGGTTTAATTTTCTCTTGAAACAGAACACTTTCGGAGACCCTTCGTAGGAACATCAAATGTATATTTTTACGTGATATGGTTAATATTTATTGTGATGTCATCAACAATGCTAATTCAACAATATCCTATTTGCTGTTATTTCACTGCGGTTATTTCGTTTCATTTTTTGTGACAATAACTCACATCAACAAATTATTGCGAAAATATGTAGAATCTCATTTATTATGCCAACTAGCAAAAATACCCGTCCCCAGTGACTTGAAAAGTTTAAGTTAACCTATTAATATAAATTATTTCATAGACTTTAAAAAGGGTTAATTGTGTTGCATTTCTGGTGTCACTTACAACCAAATCTCTCAGCTACTTATACCACCCACCACAAAAAGTAATTGTTGAGCATTTCAGTCATGCTAAGAGCCACTCAACAATAACACACGGTAAATCTACATTTTTATTATTTAAGTTACGTCACATTTTGAAATGTGAATGATAGTGTGAATAATTCCTAACAATTTGGTGTAGAATATCCTGCTTTAGATATAGAATTTTACATCAACATTATTCATGACTGTTCTCTCGTCATTTTTATTGTAAACGGGAGAAATACGAACACTCGGACAGATATAAGATATTACAAAACCATTCGCACTTAATGCACGTTCTATAACTTAGTGTAAGAAACCATCTCTCTAGAAAATAAACATTTTGTGTGAAATTAATTTAGGATATTTAAAGTTAAACTAGTTTTTTTAACATAATCACGCAATCTGCTTAACCTTATGCTTCTGATCCATGTTTATAGACTTTACATTTCTTGGTCTATGTTCTGTTTGACTTGATATCTTCGTCTACATTCTGTTTGAGGTCCATGTTTTGATAACATTATATTTCAGTGAAATCTTTTCCAGAACTTGTATATTGGTCTAATTTTATATTCGAGATCCATGCTCTTTTATGTCCATGGTTTATAAAGTTATATTCCTGGCGCATATTTAACAGAACGTATAATTTGGTCCCTCTAAAGTAATAAAAGGGTGTGTTTGTGTGACCGCCATAGCTCCAAGAGGAAAGAACCTAGAAATCTGAAATTTTACATCCATACTAAGTGGATCCTGAGGGTGTGCACCTGGGTATTATTACTTATCTTATCCACGTGCGCGCGTGCGCATCTTTTTTAATGAGGCAAGCTAGCGAAAAACCACATAGAAAAGAAGGGATTCCTTATATTACAAATAGAAATCACAGACAGACAGACACGCTCTTTTATTATTATATATATAACGCAATTATAAAGTTCTTTGATAATAAATAACTCTTAATTTACTGTACTTTGTTCACGACTTTTTTATGTTTCTGCGAAATAAAACCTTGTTCCAGGTTCACATTCTTTTGACCTTATATTTTGGTTCACGCTCTCCTAATAATATATTTCTCGTTCTTGTTCTGTTAACGATATGTATTTCTGTTCTGTGTTCTCCTAACCTTATGTTTCAGGCCCATCTTCTTTATTATATATTCATATCGTAACTATGAGTGAAGAGAGACTATTTAAATTCGCTATGTTTATGTTCGAACTATCAACAAATAATATACGAAACATATTTTTCTTTAAGCTATTTAATCACTTTAACCCTCAACTTTCGGATTTGTTTGGTTATTGTTCAATACAGCGGTGTCCATGAAGTATGAAGTAATTCTATTTTTTTGCCTGTTTGAATAGGAAATATATTTCATAATGCCACGAAATGTTTCGATGCCAACGACCCTATTTGAATACCTAGCTTGGCAAAAACGAATACGTGTTTACACAATAGAGGACAAATAATATTTACGGGTTTCCCTGACGACAAGCATTGGCTTCGATGACGTGACATCCTCCTGACCGAACCAGAAATATATATAAATACTGCATGTCATCTCGATTCTTATACCTGAACACGTTGTTGTGTGAACCTGAAAGGTAAGTTGAAGTTTGATTTGAATGTTTACTAATACAATTAATCATTAGAGCATGAAGTACGTGATATTAATGCAACACATTTTATATCAAATGATACTGTATATTTTAATATGATATAGTCTAGAAGTGTTTCGATATCCACAACAATGCTAACTTAACAATATCCTATTTTATGTTATTTCATTGCAATTGCTTGTTTTGTTTTGTTTTAGCTACAATAACTCAGTTAAATTCTTGCGACGTTATTAAGAACCATAAACATTTCCTAAATATTACAAAACCATTCTTTAACCGTACCTAAACAGACGTTTTGTAATTTAATGTAAGACCATCCCTCTAAAATAAACATTGACTTAGTGTTAACAAGTTGAATAATGAGTTTTTTACCTCAATCGAGCAGTCTGCTGAACCTTGTGCTTTTCTTTTCTTGACAGATATCATGATGTGGTTCTACGTACTTAGTTATTTTTTCTTGGCGCTAAGTCTGTTTGATGTGGTTTCACTTGGTAAGTATATGCCATTTATCCTTTAGTATTTGAGATAAAAACCAGAAGTGTCCGTTATCAGCATTATCATACATAAATAATATATTATTCATGCGTCATAAATTAACCATGGTGTATTGTTTGTTTCTTTTTTTTTTAATTTCGCGCAAAGATAGCCCTCGTGTAGTTTTGTGCGAAATAAAAAAAAACAAACAAACTGTACGCTTTATTTCAAAATAAGGCTAGAAAACTCTAAATGTCGGAGACATTCTTATCACACCTGGTGGCAACATAACGAACTATTTGTATTATTCATATACACCTGTATTAGAATATAAGTCATTATGATGTTTGGTTTTATGAAGCAACTATGACAACGCTTTACTTAGTAGCTTATCGAAAATACACCACTGACGACCTAGTGTACTTTTCGAATGTATATTTATATACATGTATGTGCATCTTTAATGAACAGACAAACCTAACTTATATCCTATTCTGCTTCCT